AATTAAGTCAACTCTGAATCAGAGAGATATAAGGAACAATTACAATAAATTACCAAGGAATACGTTTCCATAATGGTTGGGTTTCTGCTCTCCTGATTAAGAGATCTGCCTAAGAACCAAATGTGGAAGAGTGCGCCTAAGGAAGTCCTTGCTTTAGTTCAATAACCACTAGGTGCAATAACCACACGCTTAAAGCAAAACTAATAATCATTGGTGGTGCGAATAAGTAAATGGCGCACTCTACTCCGATAACAAAAATGTACTACAGGCCCGGCCGGAGGGGCTCAGTGGTTGGGCATCAACCTCTGAACCAGGAGGTCACGGTTCGATTGGCTTTCGGGCTTGATCCGCAGTAGGGGGCGTGCAGGAGGCAGTCGATCAATGATTCTCTCTCATCACTGATATTTCTATCCCCCTCTCCCTTCCTCTCCGAAATCAATAAACATGTATTTTTAAAAATAGTACTGTAGTTGCGACCAAACCATAGCAAACTTGCAAGCCCAACTTGACTCCTTAAGAGCTTCAGAACCCGCCAGTATCAAGACCCACGACGGCCTACTGGACCTCCAGGAGATAAACGTATTCCACCCCAACACTAACCTTCAGCCTAGTGTCAGAGCTCAGACGCAGCTCCCTTCGCCAGCACACTCTGCCTGCAGTGTGAGGTCACTCCTGGTCTCTGTGTCCGTTACTTCTCCAGTTCTCTTCCCTCAATGACTCTGGTAACTGATCCAACTCTCCGGGTCCACTATTTCCTCCACTCCCTGAGGGTCAGGGTCTATAGGCACTACTTCCTGGTCACGTGGCCTCGGAGGCCCTGGGCTGCCCTTGGCCTTCTCACCTGGTTCTCACCTGGTCTCATCAGAGGGCTGTCACATCTTGGGTACCATCCCTGTCTTTTACTTCTGACTCCTTCTCCATATCTATCTTATTTGTGGTTCTCCTCCGTCCTCTCCTATTCTCTCAGCCCATCAGTTCTCCCACGTCTGCACGAGAGCGCATGTGCGCTATTCAAATGACTTCCTCTGGACCCTCCCTCATCTGCCGTGACAACTCCAGTCCTGAATTTCTCCCTTCAACGGGCTGCAGGTCCACACTCTGCTCATTAGGCCCCTACAAGTTCACTTCACTGGACAGAAATATTGTGCTTGCTCGGCAATCCTTCCGTCCGCTGCTCCCTTCCTGCGGAATTGCTAACACTGACAGAGATCCCTGCCACTTCACCTCCCCTACTCCCCGGCATTTCCCAGATTTCATTTTCTTACAGAGGAAGGACACAGTCAAACACCAGAAATGCTATCGACAGTAAAGCATTATCATTGCTCGATTAAAGGTAAGAGAGACTCACAATTTTTGCATTCTTCCCACTTTTCCTTAGTTGCTGAACAGCAAAAGCATGTTCAACATTATCCATCGAAACTCCATTAACCATCGCAACTCGGTCATTTTCCCTAAGAAAAAAGTCACCAAAAGAGCACGTTAGAGAAAAACATACATGTAAGTAAGTTTGTGAAGGTATTTTCAAGATGAGTACTTCTAAGAAATGCTGTAATTATGGACGAGGTAATCTATTTGTCTTCAGATCAGTGATAAAATGCCAAACTATTTACTTTCAGATCTCTCACAAACACGCTTATTAGCAAGTACCCACAGGTCACTCATTTTTTTAAAACAATTACCACGTGGCCCAGCCGGTGTGGCTCAGTGGTTGAGCATCGACCTCTGAACCAGGAGGTCACAGTTCCATTCCCAGCCAGGGCACATGCCCGGGTTGCGAGCTCAATCCCCAGTGTGGAGTGTGCAGGAGGCAGCCGATCCATGATTCTCTCTCATCATTGATGTTTCTCCCCCCGCCCCCTCCTCTCTGAAATCAATAAAAATATATTAAAAAAACAAAAAAACAAAGCCATGAACACACGTTTCCCAAAGGACTGAGCAGGTACCACACACACAGAGTGATCCGGTGGGACAAGCACAGGGCATAAATGACACTATGTCATAGAGCCGGGAAAAGGCATTCCCCCTTTAAAAAAATAAATACTCCTCTTTCCAATTTTCTTTTAATCCTTCAAATTATACTCTTACTTTTTTGCTAGTGTATCTTTGGCCTCTTTCTATTGATAATCTTACTGAACAAAACAGCAAGGCTCAGGGTGAGAGGTTCCTAAAGGCTAGATTCTAGCTAAAGCTGAGTAAACGTGTTTTTTCCCACTATTTTTACAGTGACCTTCTATTTAAGCAGCGGTTCTCAACCTGTGGGTCGCGACCCCTTTGGCAGGCGAACGACCCTTTCACAGGGGTCGCCTAAGCCCATCCTGCATATCAGATATTTACATGATGATTCAGCACAGTAGCAACATGACAGTGATGAAGTAGCAATGAAAATAATGTTACGGTTGGGTCACAGCATGAGGAGCTGTATTTAAAGGGCCAGAAGGTTGAGAACCGCTGTATTTAAGGTTCATATACTTACTTTCCACTTAGGATCAAGAAAAGGAAAAACATATATTCACTTAGAGAACTTCCAGGTGGTCAGTGAACAGTTCCCAGGGCCCGAGGCCAGCCCCACGCGTGCCCAGCGCCCAGGGGACACACTTACTGCAGCTGCCCCTCGGCGGGCCCTCCCTTCAGCACGTCCGAAATGACGATCGAGGTCTCCCCGCTCTGAAAGTGGGGGTTATCTCTCCCACCAGAGATCGCAATTCCAAATCCAAATCCCGGAGCCTAGAGGGACGATCACAGTAAAATGTTACTAATTAAGACAAACAGCTGTTCATTATGTCGCACTCTATACACTGAAAGCATTACAAGCAAAAGTGACAACAGTATTTCCTCTGTGGTCACCACTCCCTCCCGGATGGCTACTCACCGCATGACCTAGCCTGGAATGGGCATGCACGCTCTAACGCATTAAATGGCATATGAGAACAGTAACAACTGCCAAGTACTTGAATGTTCTTTAAGAGCTAAGAGAATCTCAAACCCACACGTCCACTTTCCTGAAGAGCACATGGAGTATGCAGAGCAGTGTAAGGAAACCTCAGCATTCCCAGGGATCCAGAATCGTAAGCCGGAGCAGCGTCTCCCCGCATGGTTTCCACAGCGCCCTCTGCCATGCAAACCAGGAGACCCTGTTCACCGGGGACTGGGTGTACGTCATGACCTTCACTCCCACCCCAAGCCCTACTCAGGTGGCAAAAAAGAAACAACCCTCCTTAAAAAAGAATAAACCACCAGCGACTTCACGCCTATACACCTGAGAAAAACGAAAGCTTACACCTGCACGAAGACTTACACCCCCATGCTCACAGCAGCATTTCCTACATGTAGCCACAGCAGAGCACCAACCCAAATGCCCACCAACTGGCGAGCGGACAAATAACATGTGGTACATGATTACAATGGCATCGTATTTCCTTTCAAAGAAATGAAGTACTGGTACATGCTATGACATAGATGAACCACCTTGAAAACATGCTGAGTGAAGAAGCCCATCATAAAAGACCCTCTATCGTGTAATTCAATTCATAGGAAATGTTCAGAAAAGACAAACCTACAGACACAGAGAGTAGAATGAGACTACACCACTACCTTACACCACACACAGGAATTAACTCGAGAGGGATTGAAGACTTGAAACCATAGAACGCACAGAAAACATCGGCGCTAAGCTGCATGGGAGGAAAGCCACAGGTGTCTGACACGCCCCAGACCTGAGAACCCAAATAATAACCGGCATTCACTGGGAACAATGGCAAAACAGCGTGGGACCAGCGCTGACACGGGAGGGACTGTGCCTCCTCCAACCGCAGGCGGGAACAGGCCCTGCACGGAGCCTGAATCCCGGAGCTGGGTGACCCTGGGGCTCTGCACGCTGGGCCAGGCCTCACCCAGCGCTCCACACAGGAGGCGCTGCTGGCAGGAAGCGGCCTTGAGCGGCCGGCACAGCCAGGTCAACATGTACAAAGGGCGCAGAGATAAGACCGTGGCAGAAAGCAGCTGGTATGTTCTGTAGCACATGCATCACACACACACACACACACACACACACACACACGTGCGCACACACGCACATGCACCCACACACACACACACGCGTGCGAGGAAACTAAGCCAGTTTCTAAAACCTCAAAGAAACTAATTTGGCATAAAAATAAGCAAAGAGTGTCAGGATCAAATCCCTTACAGCATTACGATGAAGATAAGGAGCAGCAGAGTAACTTCCCCACAGAAAACGAAAGCATGAACTAACTGGGAACTTTAAAAAGAGCTCATAACGTATAAAGAAACTTGGATTATGACCACATTTGGACAGCAACATGCTACGCCGAAGATAATATAAAGATACTCCAGAGAGACAATGAGCCAAGGATTTCACATCCAGTAAGACCGACCTTCAAGTGAGACAGGGCACGGAGAAGCTAGTGGACAGGCAAGAGACAGGGTCTCTAACAGCAGGTGACACCCTGACACTCAAAGCGACAAGGAACCCCGAGAGGACTGGCGACAGCATTGAATGTATACTTAACTGTGGTGATAAGGTTACACGAGGACCAGGGGAAGAACTGCATCAGTAACCGCTGTCGGAGATGGATACAGGAAAACCATTTTTTTGAATGGGAAGAGGAACAGCACGTGGGAAAAATGTTGATACTGTTCCCAGTCATCAACACTGACAGTGGTAGAAATATTGTTACTCCAAGGCCACCACAGGCTCGGTGCTGGACTTACTGAGAGACTACGGTGGAATTCTCATAGAAATGCAAAATACTCTATTTCTCTCATAGATCTTTACCACACAAATTTTTAGGTGCGTCAAAAGGCAGCTGGTTTTGTCCTAGCCCGTTTGGCTCAGCAGATAGAACATCGGCCTGCGGACGGAAGGATCCCGGGTTCGATTCCAGTCAAGGGCACATGCCTGGGTTGTGGGCTTGATCCCCAATAGGGGACGTGTAGGGGGCAGCCAATCAATGAGTCTCTTTCATCATTGATGTTTCTATCCCTCTCTCCCTCTCCCTTCCTCTCCGAAATCAATAAAAATATGTATTTTTTTAAAAAAGGTAGTTGGTTTTTACATGAGAAATGTCTACGATAATGTTTATTTTTGGGGGGGAGAGCTAAAGCAGTATAATATGACCTCACTTATTTGCATGTGCACACACATTTATGGTTGTAGCTTTTGAATGGAAGAAAGAGCATCCAAGAATTTTGCTCTCGCCATAGTTCATCTTTTTGAGACCATAAGCAGCCATGAGCAGCAATAGGTTTTGTGTTCAAACCTTTGCCTGGTAGGGAAACTAAATTTATCATCAACAAAGACATGTGACCAGTGAGTGCTGAAAATGTGGCTAGTTACCAGAGATATGTTGAAACTGCAAAATGTGCATTAGTTTTGTAAGGCTCTATGAGAAAAACACTAAAGTACATCAATTTTAAATATTGCTCACATGTTGAAGATGATAATATTTTGGATATACTGAGCGAAATAAATAAGATCTATTATAAAATTAGTTTCGCCTGTATTTTACACTCTTTATATGAAGGCTAAAGGATCTTAGTTATGCATGTCTTCGCATTCTATTGCTGTTGGAGAAGGCTGCTATCTGGACTTCCTGAGAGCGACTTTGTTGACGAGGGTGGTCCCCTAGGAAATTAACTTTTATTGGGCTTTTAACTAAGTGCCGAGCGCTACGGGGATATAACGCTGACGAACATTTCCTCCCCTTAAGGAAATTATGATGCATAGGAGACGGGTCGACAACGACCCGAGGAGCACACTCGCTGTCACTCAGGGCCAGGGGCAGAGCCGAGCCCACGAGGCCAGGAGTCGGCCGGTGACAGGGGCTGTGACAGTGCGTGGCTCACAGTGCGGCAGCCTTGCAGGGTGAACAGGATGTCTACGGCTTCTAATGTTCTCAGGCGAAGGACGTCTCCTCTGGGAATGCAAATAGAGGCAGGGGGCAATACCGAAGCACGTCGGGCATTATTCCTGATAGCTAACAGCAGAAACTACTGTGTTTTCATCTACAGAATCTTTCTTCTTCTAAAAGACAAAGGTGCTTCTGCGTTACATGTAGCTGACCATCAGATGTCAAAGAGCATGGATCTGCCCTGACTTGGCCCCACATGGTACCGATAATGCAGGTCAGGGCCGAAAGGACATCGCCTCCAGTCACCTCCTTCACTCTCCACTGTTCTCATTCCTGTCAAGCCAGGGCCGAGGCCCTCCATTTCAATCTGGAGCACTCAGGAAGAGGCAGACAAAGGGACTCAGAGTCTCATAGTTGGGGATGACCCAGTGGACTTCTCTTTACAATAATAAAACGGAAGTCACTGCTCTACATCACTGGTCAGAAACCCTGGCCTGCAGGCCAAATCTGGGAAGCTGCCCAGTTTTGTAAATAAAGTTTTACTGGAACCCAGCCACCCCCGTGTGTCCATCTATTATTTATGGCTGCTTTTGCAATGCAAGCGCAGAGGTGAGGAGTAGTGAGAGATTTACAGCCTGCAAAGCCTAAAATATCACCTGGCTCTTGACAGGAAAAGCTGGCCGACAATATTCTAGCAGAGCCAGATTTTATTCTGGACCAACTCCGAACACTCAGGGCCGGTGCTATCTGAACGTCCCATTCTGCAGCGGGGGAGAGTGAGTCGAGCGGAGTGCGGTTGGTGTAAGTCAGCTCGCAGCGACAGGGCCATGTTCAAGAACCTTCAAAACACCGCTCCCGCGGGGATGGTGCTGAGGCTCCCATTCGGCCGGGACTCGCTCTGGGGCGGCCCAGCAGCAGCAGCTCTGTGAATGGGATCCTCTCATCTCCACGGAACTTCCGGACAGCTTTCTGGGCTGGTCCCCTTCTCGTGGCAGAAGGAAACAGCAGGGCAGAGGCCAGCTACAGAGAAACGGACCCGCACCTGCCAGGCAGGCGCTCTCGGGGTCATGCCCACTATGCTGGGCGGGTGTGACACGGAGCACACTCAGAAAATCGGTTTCTGACTTCTCAGCGTCCAAGAGCTTTTCCTGCTTGGCCTAAGCTAATGATCTGTAGTAAGTACAGTGTCCCCACACGTGAATTCCTAGCAAAACGAGGCAGAGGAGTAGGAAGGAGAAACATATTTTAGCTAATGGGTCTTATTTTATTTTGTTTATTTAAAAACTAAAAGGTACTAGGGAAAAACAACTGGAATGTGATAACGCCAAATTACACCAATGGTCTCAAAAGAATGATCTAGCTTCTACCTCAAGAAATTACTAAAAGAACAATTTAAACCGAACATAAGCAGAAAAAAGGAAATATAAAAATAAGAACAGAAATCAATTAAATAGAAAACAAAACAAAATATATCAATGAAAACAAAAACTGGACCCTGGCCAGTTTGGCTCAGTGGATAGAGCGTCGGCCTGCGGACTGAAGGGTCCCAGATTCAATTCCGGTCAAGGGCATGTACCTTGGTTGCAGGCACATCCCCAGTAGGGGGTGTGCAGGAGGCAGCTGATCGATGTTTCTCTCTCATCGATGTTTCTAACTCTCTATCCTTCTCCCTTCCTCTCTGTAAAAATCAATAAAATATATATTTTTTAAAAAAACTGGTATTTTGAAAAGATCAATCAAAACTGTTAAACCTCTAGCCAGCCAGACCAAGAAATAAAAGAAGACACAAATTACCAATATCAAAAATAAAAACAGGGCCTCATTACAGGTCCTATAGCAACAAAATAAGAGACCATTGTTAACAATTTTATATTCATAAATTAGATGAAAGGGACAAATACTCTGAAAGATGCAAATTACCAAAACTACCAAAAAAAAAAAAAAGCTAACAAAGAAGAAATACATAACTGGACAGTCCTACATAACATCAAAGAAACTGAATTTATAGTTAAAAGCCTTCCCACAAAGAAGACTCCAGGACCAGATGGCTGGCTACCCAGATGAATTCTACCAAACATTTAAGGAAGAAGTGACATCAACTGCACAGGAATTGTTCTGAGCCGCATAGCTGTTTCCCTGACCAAACCCAGATAAAAACCATACACGCACAAAAAGCACTGACCAATATTTTTTATGAACACAGAAACACGTATCTTCAAAAAACATGAGCAAATCAATCCAATATAGAAAATGGATGATATATCACAAGTGAAGTTTATCTTGGGAATGCAAGTCTGTGCAACATTCAAAAAGCAAGAAATTGACCGTATCAACAGACTAAGAAGAAAATTTTTTGAAAGCTACGGTAGTCAAGGCAGAAGTCACTGCAGGAAGACAGACACTTAGATCAACAGAAGAGACCAAGGAAAGACCGCACGCAAATGGTCACTGATTTTTGACAAAGACAGAAAGAAGTTAAAATTGTACCCTGAATATAGAAAGAACTATCAAAATTCAGTAACAGCCGGAACCGGTTTGGCTCAGTGGATAGAGCGTCGGCCTGCAGACTGAAAGGTCCCAGGTTCGATTCCGGTCAAGGGCATATACCTGGGTTGCGGGCACATCTCCAGTGGGAGGTGTGCAGGAGGCAGCTGGTCGATGTTTCTCTCTCATCGATGTTTCTAACTCTCTATCCCTCTCCCTTCCTCTCTGTAAAAAAATCAATAAAATATATATTTTTTAAAAATTCAGTAACAGCTCTGTGCACCGAGGGACACACTCAACAGAATGAAAAGACAACCCATAGAATAGGAATAGGAAAAAATATTTGCAAGTCATCTATCTGATAAGGGGTTAATATCTAAAATAGGTAAAGAATTCCTATAACTCAACAATTAAGATACAAATAACCCAATTACAAAATGGGCAAAGGACGTGAACAGATGGTAAATTTTATGTTTGGTGTATTTTACCACAATTATAAGAAAACACGCAATAATAAGAAAACAAACAAGCCAATTAAAAATGGACAAGAGACTTGAACACATTTTACCAAAGAAGATATATGGATGACAAGTTAGCGCATAAGCAGATACTCAACATCATTCCTCTTAAGAGAGCTAGAAACTAAAACCACAACGACATACCACTACACACCTATTTGTGTGGCTAAAATTAAGACAATGCAAACCCCCAAACAACCCTGAAAATATCGAGTGTTGGTGCGGATACACAGCAACTGGAGGCCGTACACACTGGTAGTGAGGATGCAAAATGGTACAGTTTGGCAGTTTCTTATAAGTTAAATATTCATTTACCATAAGACACACAGCAATTCCATGCCTAAGGATTTACCCAAGAGAAATGAAATGTTAGGTTCATACAAAAACCTGTGTACTAGAGCAGATTGATTCATATCACCCAAAACTGGAAAAAAGCCAAATGTATCAAAACTGGAAAGTAAGTACATCAGTCTACATTCATATACTGGAACACTACTGGGCAACAGGAAGAAACTAACAACAACAAGAAGAGAAAACAAAGAATTATTGGTAAAAGAAATTTCAAATACGGGAGAAGAGACCAGTCTCAAAGGCTGCATGCATAGGGTGTGAGCTCCTGATGTGATTCTGGAAAAGGCTAAACATCTCTGTGTAAGAGCAGAACACACATCAGTGGGGGCTCCCTGCTGGGGGAGGGGCAGAGCTGACTACAAATGGGCACAAGTTTCAGGGTGACGATTGCTCTATATTTTTACTGTTGTGGTGGTTACATGACTACATCTATGTAGCTCAATAGGTTAGAGCATCGTCCCAATACCCCAAGGTTGCAGGTTCGATCCCCGTCAGTGCGTATACAAGAAGCAACCAATAAATGCAAAAGTAAGTGGGACAACAAGTCGATGTTTCTCCCTCTCTCTCTCTCTCTCTCTCTCTCGCTCTCTGAAATCGATAATTTAAAAAAAAACAGCTGTGGCGACCACAACTTCAGAAGGGGATGGGATGGCTTGCCCATTGCTAGAGGGGAAGAGGCAGCGTAGGATGCAAGTGCAGGGCAGACAAGCCCTTACTCTGACCCAGCTTCCTGCTACCTGCTCTGTGCCCATCGGCAACTGCTCACTCGATGGCTTGGGGCCTACGTGTTCCAAACCCACAAGTACCCTTTAAGATTTTACTACCCACGCGACCTGGTTCATTTTAAACCTCAAGCCTACAACACATGCATCTGTCCTCAGAAATGCTGAAGCAGTTTACCACATATACAGTGCACCGCGTCTCTTATCTGATCCCTCCAAATTTACAGTCGATGGTTTCTTCAGTCAGGAATACAACAGCAAGTACACAAATGCCCACGGAAAGGATGTCTGAGAAGTAGCCAGGGTCACTGCTGACCTTCATAACGAGTTTATTGCCATTCTAATCTTAAACAAAGGGATATAGAAAAACTCGCCCCTTTCTTTGGGCTTCCTGACATCTGGCTTTCCTCCATTGTTCCCCGCAGCTGCCAATATCCTGGGCTGCACACAAACTCACCCTGTGAAGCGTCACCGTGTGCTGTTCCCATATAGCCGTTTCCTCCATGGCTGTGCTCTGAGAAAGAAAGAGAAAAACAAGGCATTTGTCTTTTAAGAAAACGTCTTCAATTAAGTGAGTGAGAACAACTAGCAGACCATTTAGCACATTGGAATCATACTATTAATATTAGCAACTCTGAAAGGAGTTTCATAACCATGGAAGGTTTTTCCGTTTGCTTTTGTTGGAAGGGACAGGAAACTACTCACAGGAACTTCCTGTGTTTTTAACTTAATTTGGACAGAGGCCGTTCTCTGTTCGTTTTCTTGCCAGCTCCAGCTCATGCTGCAACTTTATACTTAGCGTGAGGTAGGAAAGAATCAAAGTTGGAATGGCATTATTGTAAAATACCCATTGACACATGAGACATTGTAAAGCATTCCGTATGCTATGCAAAGAAAAGGAAAAGTCAAATCCCTCCGGACTCCAGGATTATAAATATTCAGGTTCCAGGAAATGAGATGGGACCATCTGATAGGTCTGGTCAGTGGTCGCTTTAATATCACAGTTAAACACTCTGCCCCACCTAGTTAAGATTTTGCTACAGATTTGTCTTCTGAGGCTTTCTTTTCTACAGAAAAAAAAAAAGTGGCTTTTCTAGGATACCATTGCACACACCCATCCACACACACAATAAAGAAAAGCTCCAAAAACACCTCCCCAAGCAGCATCATAAAGTTAGAGCGATGCAAGCTCCAGTGAGGGCACTACTCAGACCACTGTGCAATCGGGTTCATCTACTGTCCAGAAACTCTTACAATCCCTAACCGGTTTGGCTCAGTGGATAGAGCATCGGCCTGCAGACTGAAGGGTCCCGGGTTCAATTCCAGTCAAGGGCATGTACCTTGGTTGTGGGCACATCCCCAGTGGGGGTGTGCAGGAGGCAGCTGATCGATGTTTCTCTCTCATCGATGTTTCTAACTCTCTATCCCCCTCCCTTCCTCTCTGTAAGAAAACAATGAAATATTTAAAAAAAAAAAAACTCTTACGAGAGTGGGAAATGCATTTCCATCTACCAGGTGAGCACTAAAGAATTCAAAATAAATGTCTTATAAATTGGGTTAATGGCTCTTGGAAACTTAAAGTAATTCTCTCTCTTTCACTGTGACCACTTTTGAAATTAGGGTTCCTGAATATAATACATCTATAAACAAACCTTGGTGGTTTTTCTGTTAATCCTCACCCGAGCATATTTTCCCGTTCATTTTTAGAGAGAGTGGGAGGAGGAAAGAGAAAGAGAAACATCAACGTGAGAGAGACACATCGATGGGTTGCCTCCTGCACGGGCTGGGAATGGAGACTGCAACTGAGGTATGAGCCCTTGATCTGAATCGAACCTGGGACCCTTCAATCCTCGGCCAACGCTCTACCCACTGAGCCACACTAGCGAGGGCTTTAAAGTTTTTTCAAGCCTCTGCAGAGTTAACCAAGGGGGTGGAGGGAGAATGTGAGCATGGCGTTCTCAGTGTCACTCCTTACACTGCTGTGCCTGCCTGTGTCCCAGTGAGGCCTGTTTCCTCGTCCTTGCTCCGTGTCATGAACATCACAGGAGATGCCCGTCGAGAGAGGCCCAGCGAGGGGCCCGGGGCCCCTCTCTCCTTCCCACAGCAGCTCTGATGGCAGACTGCTGCTACTTCAGCAAAGGAATCCTATGAAGAAAGCCTGCTTCCCTAACCGCGAAGCAGCGAGGTTCGCCTTCCTGCCGCCGAATGAGGGAGAGAAAGGCGCTCTGTTCGCTCCCACAGATAAACCGCCAGCCTTCCCAGCGCTTTGTTTCCATCTGCCCATCGAGTGCAGCCAAACCTCCCTTTAATGGGACCTCTGCTGGAAACAAATCTGTTTGTGGTTTTAACGAAAACTGACCAGGACTTAATGTGTTAGAAGGAAATTCCTCCATCGATGTGAAGCAATGATGATATCAGTAATCTGCTAAGCATTAAGAATTCCACTCAAATAACCCTAGCAGGTGTGGCTCCGTGGATAGAGCATCGACCTGCAGACTGAACGGTCGATCCCAGGTTCGATTCCCAGTCAGGGCATAGGCCCAGGTTGCAGGCTCCATCCCCAGTAGGGGGCATGCAGGAGGAAGCCAATCAATGATTCGTTCATCATTGATGTTTCTATCTCTCTCCCTCTCCCTTCCTCTGTGAAATCAATAAAAATATATTTTCAAAAGAGTTCTGCCCTGACCAGTTTGGCTCAGTGGATGGAGCGTTGGTCTGCGGACTCAAGGGTCCCGGGTTCGATTCCAGTCAAGGGCATGTACCTTGGTTGTGGGCACATCCCCAGTAGGAGGTGTGCAGGAGGCAGCCGATCGATGTTTCTCTCTCATCGATGTTTCTAACTCTCTATCCCTCTCCCTTCCTCTCTGTAAAAAGAGGGCTCATACCTCAGTTGCAGTATATATATAAATAGAGTTCTACTGAAATATACGTGATCAAGATACCTGCAGTAACCTCCAGGCTGCCCCATCCTAGCCGACACTCAAAAATGAGAACTGCCTCATAGCTGGAGCTCAGCTCCGCCTCACCCACCCCGCTACCCAGTGCGTGGTGCCCCTGCCTCCTCAATCCCCTCCCTCTGGCGCACACTGAAGTGGCCTGATAACAGGAATCGCCTGGAGAAGGATCTGGTACGAGAGGGTTTATCATCCTCCATGTGGTTGTAATGGCCACATAGTTTTCCATGTTGTAAGAGAGTATTAATCAAATGGGAGATGCATTTAATGTGAATTCTATGAAGCAGCTTACGCACTGTCAGCCTCATTCTGTTTAAACCCGGGCAGGAAGAGAGCTGAAAGGACAGACACAGTGCTGACATCGGTCATCTTCCAGTGAAGGGATTATGGGATTATTTTAGCTTTTGCCTTTCCTTTCTCCATTCCCAAAGTATCTTAAGCCACATTTACCAAATCCCATTGGAAACTTCAAATATCTGCTTTTCACTTAGCTTTGAGGAAAACCAAATAATATTTAAGAAGATTATTTTGTTTCATTGTTAACTATGAAAGGTATTTATTCTACTGTTACTAAGGGATTTATATCAAGAGGAGTATGGTAACAGAAATTTATTTTATTTGTGTGAGATAAGGGGAAAATAGAAATGCTAAAACAAATCTTCTCAGCATTCCGATCCAATATGTTTCTTCTCTGGAGGCATGGAAAAGCACACCTCTCACCTGGCTCGCTGGCTTCCCCAGGAAGGGTGGCACTACAATACCTCGCTTCTCCCCGAAAGCCAAACAGGGCCTTGTGAGCGTGACTTACCAGACCGGAGGCCTATGTACAGGCAACAGAGAGTGAAACAGCAGAAAGGGTAGGTAGCTGTTAGGCTCTGGAGCAGCAAGCACACAGCCCAATTTAATCCAGAATATAATTGAGTTAGGCCTTGCAATCCCATCACGTAAAACACACACACAGAGAAAGACGCACTCCTAGTTCAGTGAGTGAGCCGTCATCTCTTCTCTCCAGCCCGGGGCTCCTTCCCTGGCAAAAGCAGCGGAATTCTCCCCAGGCGGCTGTGTAACCGGGCAGACCCCGGCAGAGTCCTCAGTGCACCGAGGGGCGAGGAGATGGATGAAGACACAGACCTTGGTGTGCAAACGGGGTACAACAGAACGAAAGCCTCGCTATGAGGACTATGGTCCCCAGGGTAGGATTCGTCCCACCCTGCTACAGTCCCCACAGCGAGGCCTCAGAAACCGAAGGCTCACGTGAGGTGAAGCGTCTCACTAGCACATGCACCCAGCGCTCTTTCGTGAGCGCGAAAGACAAGAGGGGCAGGGCTTCCTCTGGAGACATCTAAGCAGCAGGTGGCCCGGGGGTGCAGAGGTGGAAATGGGGGTGCGGCGGGAAGACCCTTCCTGTTTTCCTTCATTAGGAGCCCGCTGGCAGTGTTCTATCAGGTTCATCTGTCACCTACTCAAATAAATGATTTTTAAAACTCAACATCCTTATTGTAAACGTGCTTGGCATTTTTCTTATTAAAAAAAAAAAAAAGAACACAAAACAGAACCTGGCAGGTGTGGCCCAGTGGTTGAGCATCAGCCTATGAACCAGGGGTCACGGTTCAATTCCTGGTCAGGGCACATGCCCGGGTTGCGGGCTCCATCCCCAGTAGAGGGCGTGCAGGAGGCAGCTGGTCAGTGCTTCTCTCTCATCACTGATGTTTCTATCTCTCTCTCCCGCTCCCTTCCTCTCTAAAATCAATAATAATGTATTTAAATAAAAACAAAGCAGAAAGCATAACTGTGTAACCTGGACAAAGACCTTCTGATAATCTAGTCTCATTCCCAAGCAGTTCGGTTTGTGGGAACCATGGAAAAGGTGCTGCTCCCACTGCAGGACCCTAGCACTGTCACTCCGTAGTAATGGAAGTCAGTCTGTTAAAAAGAACATGAACTAGACCAGAAATAGCCAGATCAGAGCCCGAATCTGCTGTTACCTAGTCAGGTGACCTTAGCTGTCCTCCCAAAGTTAGGGAATTGGATGAGATTTGCTTAAGTCAAAAGTCCTTCCTGCCCCCAATGCTACTAGACTGTAATCCCAGTTGTTGTCCAATAGCACCCCAGTTCCCAACAGGCCGCAGGTTCAGAAATCAATGCCGCACTCCAGGCAAGGACATTGCAAGGCGCAGCTGCCGGGCTCTGAGTTCTCCGCACATTTCGAAGTCAGCATCGCTGACTAGAATCGCAATTTCTGAAGAGGCAAAAAGCTGCATTTCAGAATCCACCAAGAGTCTGTTTGGTTTCTTTGTTCTGCGCTCCAGCTGGCAAAGACACCGCTCAGATCACCAACTCTGAAGGGCTTCCGGCCAAAACTCCAGATCCTGAGTCTAGGCAGTTTCACGTCCTCCAGGGCTGACGACAAAGCAATGGGGAAAGGCCGGAGGACAGAACTGAAAACACAGACGAACCAGTCACTGAAAGAAGACCAACTGCAGAACAGAATAAATACAGCAAGTGCTCTCCAGATAAAGAGAACCTTCCCTCCTCGACAGTATCTACACAGACTAGTGTA